TAAGTCCCCCAAGGCATGGGACTCCCGTGGTGATACTTACAGAAAATAATTGTTTACAAGATCATTGTCAAATAACTTCTAACATTTAAACAAACATATCCATGAGTTTTAATTTAAACAAATAGAGTTTAGAAAATAATCCACGTAATTGAAACGTTAACATAACCATAAAACATAAATTATATAAAATAAATTGTGGTGACTCAAAGCATTCGTGAAATACATTATGGTAACTCAAGACATATAGAAAACATGTTATGGTAACTCAAGGTATAATATAACTCACCTTAAGATTGACCCTTAGCCTTTATTTTCCTACTACACCTCACAGCTACACTCTCTTCAACACTTACTACGAACGGTTTCTAATTTTTGTTCTTACTCTTGAAGTTTACTACGCAAGTGTAGCCCTATTTATAGTCATGTTTGCATGGCTTATACCAGGTGGTTTGTTTTTGGTTTGGCCACCTGTGCAACAGGTGGCATTCTTTATGCCTTGTTACGTGGCCTAAGGCACTCACTTAGTCACCATCCTATGCATTAGGATGGTGATAAATCACCATTTTTTTATTTTTTATTTTTTGATTTAATTCGTACTAGGCCCAAAATTAGATTACATTTTATCACTTACAACCATAACATTAATTATTATTATTATTTATTTATTTATAATAATAAAGAATTCTTTTTATTGCAGTATTGAATTAAATTTACAAATTCGAGTGTCACATTTCTCCTCTCCTTGAATGAAGTTTGTCCTCAAACTTGACGTACCTTGGTTTTCGAAGAGGTGTGGGTATTTGGCTTGCATTTGACTTTCAGTTTCCCACGTTGCTTCTTTGACACGATGGTTTCTCCATAAGACTTTTACAAGAGGTATAGTCTTATTTCGAAGGACCTGATTATGGAGATCAAGGATTTGTACTAGTTGTTCCTCATAAGAGAGGTCTTCTTGAACTTCCAAGTTCTCATAATCGATAACATGCTTTGGATCTTGAAGATATTGCCAAAGCATCGAAACGTGAAACACATTGTAGACATTGGATAGTTCGGGTGGAAGCGCAAGGCGATATGCCACAGGACCAATTCTTTCGAGTATCTCGAATGGGCCGATGTAATGTGGGTTTAACTTTCCTCGCTTTTCAAATCGGATAACCCCTGTTGTAGGTGAAATCTTTAAAAACACATGATCTCCTATTTGAAATTCTAAGTCCCATCTCCGTGTATCTGCATAGCTTCTCTGGCGACTCTGGGCAGCACGAATTCGTTGTTGGATGACCTGAATCTTATCACTTGTGATTTGCACGATCTCGGGACCTAATAATTTCCTATCTCCGACTTTCATCTAACACAGAGGTAATCGACATCTTCTTCCATACAGTGCCTCGTACGGTGCCATTCCAATGCTTGCATGGTAGCTGTTATTATAGACGAACTCCACCAAAGGTAGGTGGTCATCCCAATTACCTTTGAGGTCTAGCACATACACACGTAACATATCTTCTAAAGTTTAGGTTGTTTTTTCGGATTGCCCATCAGTTTGTGGGTGATAAGCCATGCTAAACTTCAGGGTAGTTCCCAAAGCTCCTTGCAATTTGTTCCAAAAGTGAGACACGAAGCGGGGGTCTCTATCGGATACGATTTAACTAGGGTACCGTGCAAACGAATGATTTCCTTAATGTATAGAGTGGCAAACTTAGTAAGGGAGTACATGATTCTGATTGGTAAAAAATGCGCCGACTTTGTCAAACGATCTACGATAACCCATATTGCATCATTCTTCAAGACTGATTGCAGTAATCCGACCACAAAATCCATAGTAATGTGCTTCCATTTCCATTCAGGAATAGGAAGTGGCTGCAACAATCCTTCAGGTCTCTGATGTTTTGCTTTAACTCGTTGACAATGCAGGCATTTGGAGACGTGGCTTGCTATGTCTTTCTTCATTCCTGTCCACCAGAAGCATTCCTTCAGATCGTGATACATCTTCGTATTGCTAGGTTGGATTACAAACCTCGAGCTACGGGCTTCTGCCAATATCTTTTTCTTGAGTTTTGGAAGGTCAGGTACGCAAATTCGATTCCAAAATTTTAGCATCCCATTGCTTATCATGAAGTTTGGATCGAGCATATTTCCTTGCTCCTCGTACTTTTTCTTTAAAAGTTTATCTTCACATTGGCGGGCTTTAATTTCTTCAATCAACTCAGGTTCCACAATTATGTTAGCGAGCAATCCATTAATCTTGCGGGAAACAAGGGTACATGCCAAACTTTTGGTCGTCTTTTGACTTAATGCGTCTGCTACCACGTTAACTTTGCCTGGATGGTGATGGATCTCTATATCGTAGTCCTTCATAAATTCTAGCCAACGCCGTTGCCTCATATTCAATTCCTTCTGTGTAAACAGATATTTGAGACACTTGTGATCTGTGTAAATTTTGCAGGTTACTCCGTAGAGATAATGACGCTAGATTTTAAGGGCAAAGATTACTGCGGCTAACTCTAGATCGTAGGTCGGGTAGTTATTCTTGTGGGTTTTTAGTTGGCATGAGGCATATGCAATGACCTTCCCATTTACATAAGAACGTAACCCAAACCATTGTATGAGGCATCGCTATAGATTACGAACCTTTCTGTTTCTGTGGGGAGTGCTAGTATAGGACCCATCACAAGTCTATTTTTCAATTCTTGGAAGCAACGTTCCTGCTTGTTGGTCTATTCAAAAGGTGTGTTCTTCTGAGTTAGCTGGGTCAAGGGTGAAGCTATCTTTGAGAAATCTTGCACGAAGCATCAGTAGTAGCCGGCTAGGCCCAAGAAGCTTCGAATCTCAGACATGTTAGTAGGTCGTGGCCAATCCACAATTGCTACAACCTTTTGGGGATCAACTGAGATGTCATCTTTGTTAATGACGTGACCAAGAAAGCGTACACTAGTGATCCAAAATTCACATTTCTTCAACTTGGCATAAAGCTTGTGATTACGTAATGTTTGTAGAACTCTTCACAAGTGGTGCTCATGATTTTCTGGCAATTTAGAGTATATAAGAATGTTGTTAATGAAGACAATGACGAACTCGTCAAGATAGGGTTTGAACACTCGATTCATGAGGTCTATGAAGGCCGCTAGAGCATTTGTGACGCCAAATGGCATGATAAGAAACTTGTAATGTCCGTAACGAGTTTTGAAGGCAGTATTTTCGATGCTTTCTGTTTTGACTTTTAATTGATGGTAACCAGAAAGCAAGTCAATTTTTGAGAAAACTTGGGCGCCTTGTAGTTGATCAAACAAGTCGTCAATTCATGGTAGAGGGTATCGATTCTTGATGGTGACTTTGTTCAGCTCCCGGTAATCGATGTATAGCCTCATTGTACCATCTTTTTTCTTTACGAACAATACCGGAGCTCCCCATAGTAAGGTACTTGGTCGGATAAAGCCTTTGTCCAGTAGTTTTTGGAGTTGGGTTTTTAGTTCTTTTAATTTTGTCATGGACATGTGGTAAGGGGTCTTTGAAATTGGTTGTGTACCAAATTGGGTTTTAATGGTGAATTCGATTTCTTGGTCAACTAGGGTACCAGGCAGGTCTTCAGGAAATACATCCGAGAATTCTCGAACCACAGGGATTACATCAAGTGTGGAGGTCTCTTGTTGAGTATTGATCATATAACAGATACAACTACAATAACCCTTCCTTAGTAGCCGTTGGGCTGTCATGAAGGATATAATACATGGAGGGGGAGAGGCTCCAATTCCTTCAAAGACAAGCTTAAGTTGGTTTGGTGACCGGAAGAAGACCTTTATGGCTTCACAATCAATAGAGGCATGGTTGGCAGCTAACCAATCCATTCCTAAGATTATATCAAAGGTACTACTGCAAAAGGGAATCAAGTCTACGTATAAGGTTTTCCCTTTTAAGGATAAAGTACAAGATTTGTACACATCAGCACTAAGGGCAGAGTTTCCAGAAGGAAAAGACACAGATAGTATGTATCCTAAGGGTTCATGTGTTGATGCCAACTTGGTAGCAAATTGTGGTGTAACAAAAGAATGAGTTGAACCAGAGTCAAAGAGAACATGGGCTAAGTGACCACAAACAGAAAGTGTGCTTAACACAACATTCTCAGTAACTTCTGGGTTTCTAGGCACCAGGGCAAAAGCTCTTCGTTGGCCTTTTTGGTCCTTCCTCACTCCTCCAAGTACTATGGGTTTTCAGATTAGTTCAAAGGGGCTGGCTATAGGACTGGCAAGCTTTGGACAATCTCTTAGTAAGTGGCCAACTTGGCCACATCTAAAGTATGCTCCCGTATCTCGCTGGCATTGTCCCCGATGAGTCCTTCCACAAGTAGAGCAAGCTGGAATGGTGCCACCTCTAGGATTTGTAGAACCTTGATTACTTGAACTGGTTAAACTCACTGTGCCCATATTTATCCTCTTGGGAGGCGCGACACCGGGTCTTCTGTTAGCTCTTTTCCAAAATCGCTTCCTTTGGTTTGGTTCCACGGAGCGTAAGGCTTTAATCCTTTTTTCCGTAATGTGAGCTCAATCTACCACTACTACATAGGTTGGTAGTTTCAAAACCTCTAGCTTGTCCTTGATTTCAAGATCCAATCCTACTTCAAATTTCCTGGCTTTTCGAGCTTCTGTGGGGATGACGTATGTCGTGAATCGGGCTAGTTGTGTGAACTTGCTCTGGTATTCGGCCACCGTCATGTTTCCTTGCCTTAGATATATGAATTTTGCCTCTTTTTGTTCCCGCAGTGAATTTGGAAAGTATTTTCCATAGAATACCTCCAAGAATCTTTCCCAAGTCACAATATCTTCTTTCTCCAGGGTAAGAAGCCACCATTCTTGTGCATCGTCTTTAAAGGTGAATGTGGCGAAAGTCACCTTCTGTCTTTCTGTGCAAGGTAGTGCGCAGAAAATTTTCTTCATATCTCTGACCCAAGCTTTTGCCACCAGTGGGTTTGTACTGCCAGTGAATATGGTAGGTTTGAAGTCCTGGAACTATTTAATTGTAGTTGGTTCTTCTCGTCGTTCAGGCAATCCGTTATTAATGTTGGTTTGTAGGGCTCGCAGAAAACTAATAACTGCTTTTTCCATGATTTGCTCCATTGGATCAATACCGCTGACCGACGATTCAGTTCCATTTCCGTCATTAGCCATTACTACAAGGTAAAATGATATAAACGTGACATCACATTGATACAACTTGATACAACGTCATATATAACGTATTAGTTTATTAGTTTTACTAACACATTAATATTACCTCATTAATACTACATAAAACATCATATATACATCATTGTTACTATACATAAGGCATTAGTCTAGTCGTCAAGAGTTAATGTCTAATCCTACTGATACAAAAATATAAAGATTAGACTAGTCATTGTCAGCTCCCCAAAAAAGAAAAAAGATCAGTGACACCTCTCGGTCATGCTCCTAGAATAGGTCACTAAACCCCCATGAAAACTGGCTTTGGAAAACTGGGTCGTGGAACAGCCATGGGAACTCCTGCTATACGAGGGACTCAAACTCCCATCCACTGAGCTCAATCCCAAAACAGCGCCAAACTACCTAGACCATGTAGACCGGTACACCGTGGTCATATCCCCAAAACTGTCGCCCAGTGAGCCGCACAGGCATCTCTAAGTACGTGGTACTATCAATGTAGTCTACAGCTGGGGTCTGGACAATGTGCTGTGGAGGAGGTGTAGTAGTGCTAATGTGGCTGCTAGGGTATATATTCCCTCTCCTCTCGGCAAAGCCTGGGGGTAAGGGAGCAATCAAGAAATGCGGATGTACCAATCCGACGATGTGCGTCGGCCCAATATATCTCTCTCGGGTGCTAGCCCGGCTAACTCTCCAAAATAGGTAGTCCTCGTCAGGGTCGGCCTGCAAATATACTGGTCTCCCCATGAGTCAGTCAAGGTTGGGGTGGGTCTGTCCGATCGTGCTTTCTAAGTCCCCCCATCCCTCCAATAAGTTAGGGGCCAGATGCACTCCCTGGGGCTCGAACCAAATCAATTCTTCCTGACGTGCCATGTCCTACAACACAGGAAAACTTAGCCTACCTAGTATTTATTTAAATCATGTTAGACACAATATTTTATTTATCTATTTTATATTATGACAATATATATATATATACATACAATTAAACAATTATGATGTTGGACAAAATGCAGTATTTATTTATTTATTTTTATTTACGACTATATATGTATTTTTATCAATCGACACTCGAGGGTTTTTTTTTTTAAAGAAAAAAAATTCCAATTCAAATAGATTGAATAATTGTACAGAAAATTTCAAAAACATATACAATTTTTTTTTTATTTTAAAAAAACCATTGCTCTTATACCACTTTTGTCACAACCCAAACCCGATACCCAAAGGTTCGGCGTTGCAACAAGATGAAAATAAAGTAATTCTAACATTTCTATAGTAGTAGCGCAACGGATAAATTAAATAAATTAAAATAAAATAATTGGGTACCAAATGTTTATTAAAAAGAAACAAAACATAGTCATTTGGGCTTTTATTTTATTACAACAGTCCAATAAAAAACACAGATAGTACACAAAAAAGAAAAGAAAAAAAAACACTATGATTTATCTCCCATCTTGATCTCGTTAAACCTTGTCACCTGAAAGGGGTAACAGCTATAAGCACATAGCAGAGTGAAAAATATTATACTGTGAATATAGGGGTACAAAATAGCCATGGATAGTTATTTAAGCTAAAACATTAACATAATTTAAGTTGCATAAATAAATTATTTAAGTGGCAGAAACTAAAATAAAAATTACGTAAATAACAATGGCCACGGTACAAAACAGAACAGAACAGGGGTCACTGAAGTGACAATCAGGACAGGGGTCAATGGATCCATGACAAATAGGGGATCACAAAGTGGTCAAACAGGAGCCAATGGTTATTTAAGTCCCCCAAGGCATGGGGCTCCTGTGGTGATACTTACAGAAAATAATTATTTACAAGACCATTGTCAAATAACTTCTAAAATTTAAACAAACATATCCATGGGTTTTAATTTAAGCAAATAGAGTTCATAAAATAATCCACGTAATTGAAACGTTAACATAACCATAAAACATAAATTATATAAAATAAATTGTGGTGACTTAAAACATTCGTGAAATATATTATGGTAACTCAAGACATATAAAAAACATATTATGGTAACTCAAGGTATAATATAACACACCTTAAGATTGACCCTTAGGCCCCGTTTGTTTTCAGAGGTAAAATGGAGGGAATTAATAGTGAGAGGATTAATAGTGAGAGGATTGTTAGTGAGGGGATTGATAGTAAAGGGATTAAGTAAAATTGTATTTGTTTTGATAATAGTTGTTAGTGTAAGGATTGTTAAATTATTTTCATATAAAATAAATATAAAATAATAAAACAAATAAAAAAAATACAAAAACATAAAACATTAATGTTTTAAAAAAAAATGCCCAACATGTAAAAAATTTTAAAAAAATAATAAAAAAAAAAATAATCCAGAAAAAAATAAAACAAATAAAATAATGATTTTTACTTAACAAAAAATTAAATATTAATGTTCAAAAAAAATGCCCGACATGTAAAAAATAAAATAAAAATAAAAAATTTCTAGTCCACCGGACTATTTTTCTAATACCAAGCCCTGGAGGCCCATCCGAATCCCCTTGGAGAGGCCCATCCTAATCTGGAGCTCGCTATCAATCCCCTCGCCATCTCTCAAAACAAACACAATATTAGTGGATCCCACCTCACTATCAATCTCAATCCATTCTCTAACTCTCCAAACAAACGGCGCCTTAGCCTTTATTTTCCTACTACATCTCCCAGCTACACTCTCTTCGAAACTTACTACGAATGATTTCCAATTTTTGTTCTTACTCTTGAAGTTTACTACGCAAGTGCCATCCTAATCTGGAGCTCGCTATCAATCCCCTCGCCATCTCTCAAAACAAATACAATATTAGTGGATCCCACCTCACTATCAATCTCAATTTACTCTCTAACTCTCCAAACAAACGGCGCCTTAGCCTTTATTTTCCTACTACATCTCCCAGCTACACTCTCTTCGAAACTTACTACGAATGATTTCCAATTTTTGTTCTTGCTCTTGAAGTTTACTACGCAAGTGTGGCCCTATCTATAGTCATGTTTGCGGTAGATAAATCACAAAGTTGACCAGCAAATCTAGTTAATTCAACTACCGCAATATGACAACTCATTATACCTAATATTTACCCACAAAGTTGACCAGCAAATCTAAGTTAATTTTGCCTAGCTAACTTGGTCAAATTGCAAATTTTAGTTAATTCTTTCAAACTAGGTCATGTCTGTATTGTATTTGTAAAAGTATATGCCATTTATCGTCATCATATGTCATAAGTACAAAAGGCCAAAATTTTGGGTTATTTTACAAATTGATTTTATTTCACTTACAAGTCGATTCTATTAATCAAATTTATTTATCTATAAATCTTAACTAATATATTTATTCATTAATATCTATCATCCCTATTTATATTCACTTACTCATTTACAAGAATTCACTATCCTCTTTCGCAAACATAAAGAATAAACGATATTGATAAATTTATCACTAAACAATAAATATGAATTTGAAATAAAGGAGGCAATAGTGATATGGTGGCTGTTTAGATCGGCAATGGTGAAATGTAGATCTACAACGATAACATGTAAATCGGTAAAGGTAGAGCATAAATTTGTGACGATAATGGAGATAATTTGTGAATGGTAGCGATATCCGAATTAGTCAAGTTTTGCCACTGATTGGCTCTCTAAATCCTTAATAGATGATATATGCAATATGTGTAAGAATATGGACCATGTATTATGAAGTCTTTTGAGAAATTGGTAAAATGTTAGCTTTCAATTTTTTACCTATTTTGGGTCACATCACCTCTCACATAACTAACACACAAAGAGACAAAATAAGCTAAAAAAATCAAAAAATTAATTTTTTACCAACTTTCTAAAATACCCCTATGAAGGTGCATCGTAATATTGTAAAATCTGCACATGTTGCAGCGAAAGCTGTCTTGCGAAGAGGCAACTAGTTTTGTTAGTTTGATGGTTTTAATATATGTTGGTGAAAATTATATTTTATTGATAAATGATGCAAAGAAAATGATATACAAATAGATCAGGCTGAGGCACGGATATCTCATTTTCTTTAAGAATATCAAGCACACTGCGGTAGGAAGAATCCAAATACCAATGTAGCAGTCACAAAACTATGACTTCTCCCCTCCAAGATACAACAGCCCAACCACTTGTCGTATGGTTCAGGCCAACTCTGCACAAGATGGTGAACCCAAAGCTCCACCAATAAAAAAAACACCCTTCTTTGCTAGTAATCTCTCTTGTATAGAAAATAATCGGTGTGTTAGTGTAGAAAAAAGTAGATGAGATGGACTATTTATAGGCCACTAGAACCTTACAAATTACACCAAAAATAACGATGATCATTAAACAAGAGAAAATGAAGAGACTCCAAATAATAAAGAGAAAATGGAGAGACTTCAAATAATAAAGAGAAAATGGAGAGACTCCAAATAATAACTCACCACCAAGTTTATGAATTCTAATTAACTTCCATTCATGAACAAGATAAAATTCATGAATCAAACAAAAGAAGATTCATGAACAAAAATATTTAAATAAATAAATAAAAGATATTAAAATGGTCCAACAATCCCCCACTCATTTTAATATCAACAAGGACAAAAGAGATTACCAAACAAAGATAGACTAGTATGCATCATGAAGGTGTGCTCTGCATTGAACCTTCATTAGTGAAACAACAACCTCTACTCCAAAGTCAGTAGTGGTCTCGAACTTGAACTATGACTGCTTAGGGGAAATAAAGTATTACTGCTCACACATAATAATCCAGGTGTTGACATGAGCTTTTAATAGCTAGTACATTACGGCCTTGCGCTTATCCCAATTTTCATGAGCATATTTGAGAATAAGCCTTTTTCTCATAGAAAGCAGCCTCACTTTCATGCTCACATAGGTGAAATCTGTCAAGGACGTTCCTGTAATTGACACACCCCACTCAACAAGAGCTACATAATTTCATTAAGAGTATAAAAACTCAACCCTCCAACATTAC